GCCGCAGTTCTCCGAGTGGCCACCGGGGGGCCTCGGGGACCCACCTTGATCTCTGGAGGCAGCGTGAGCCATCGGACGGCCGGCAGCCCGTCCAGGAAGAGCGTCCCCGACACGTCGGGGGGCGAGTTGGAGGCGCCCCCCCTCAGGCGAAACGGCTGGATGAGCTGCTGGAAGAACAGGCAGAAGAAGTGGTCCAGCCGGGGGGCCTGGTCCGGCCTGCAGAAAGCCCTGAGGAGCAGAGGGAAACACCTCCTTCATTAAAGGAGACATATTATACCGTATTTCAACAAGTTAAACTAGTTCCCTGGTGTCCTAATGCAGTGTTTTTCAACCTTTTTTGAGCCAAGGTACAGTTTTTCATTGAAAAAATCTCGAGGCACACCACCAACCAAAAATGTTAAACAAATCTGTAGCCGCCTATAGTAACACGATAGTTATTCTTATCTTATCTTAAGTGTTTTGAATAGGAATCAAATAAGGAGGAAGAGGAGGAGGAGGAGGACGCACCTGTCCAAGGAGCCGTACATGACTTTTAGGGTCCTCACCACGTCCCCCAGCAGCGTCTGCAGGGCCAGCAGGGGAACCCTGCAGGAAAAGGAGCAGCTCACAATCACCCGGACACTAGGGTTGTCAAAAGTATCGATGCTCAAAAAAGTACCGATACTAAAACGTTGTATCCTGATACGATACCCATTTTCAAAAGTATCGATACTACCCAAACCCCCCGCCCCCTCTCTCTGATTTATTTATTTACGTTGTTTATGATCATTAACGTGACGTTAGCCTTGAATTGCTAGCTGCGGCTAACGGCTAATAACAACACGCCAACATTAATCAAGTCTGCAGGAAGCCAAGGATAGATATCCAACTCCCCACATCCAAGTCGGCCATTTTGATTAGGTCACCAATAGGAAGATCCCAAGCAAGAAAATCCTAATTGCTTCATGGCAATATAGACATTACTTTAAAAATAGTGAAATTAATTGAGCAAACACTGAATTCAACTCTATACATAATATTAGCTTAAAATGTTGTATGTTAAATATGTTTGTACAATAAGTCTAAACAACTTTAACCAAAAAATATTTATTTCTCACAATTATGAAGGTGGGGGGGTTAGGGTTAGGGTTAGGGTCATTAATGTAGGCCACCATAACATCATTAATAGGTCAGTTTGAAACGAAAGACACTAACCTGTCTAAATTCAGTTAAATTTTTGGATCTTTTTTTATCCTTGTGGTATCGAAAATGGTATCGAGTATCAAATATTTTCCTGAGTATCGATATCGAGTTGAAAATTTTTCGTGACAACCCTACTGGACACACGTCTGGACTCTCCCAGCAGAGACAAGGCCAGTGGGTGACTCTTCTCTCTAACCGGGGGTCCATAACTTAGACTTTCCAGGAGGTTTGCTTATAACTAAGCGGCCTGGGAACCATTTTAAATCCTACTTGGAAAGTTCAGTTTAGGTTTAGGTTCACTTTAAGTTTTCTACAAGACGTTTGGCCTCTGATCCAAGAAGCTTCATCAGTTCTGACTGATGGTGGAGCTCTGAGGTTAAAATACTGTAAGTGGAACTAAAGAATTAGGGGAAAAAAACAAAACAAAAGGTGGCTCTGATCTCTCCTACTTGATGGATCTTTCCGAACTGGGGGAGAGTTAATGGTCGTTAGTTCTAGAAAACTTCACCTCCAGTTAGTGAACTTTCTAAGCTTGACCTGGAGAATCTTCACAGATACATTTTACATCCTGTTCTTTCCAAAGAGAGGCGCGATTGTTTATACAGGAAAGGCCCTTAAATCTTTAAAGCCTGATCCAAGAAAAATAGTAAGAATATTGGACTTTTTTTAGTTTGAAGTCTTTCTTTGGCCCCTCAACAACATATGAAGAAAAGAAAAAAACGTTTTTTTTAATCAAATTATCGTGCAATAAGTCAAAAATATATTTTCGTGCAAGAAAATTGGAAGAATATTGTTTTTTTTTAGTCTGAAGTCTTTCTTTGGCCCCTCAACAACAAATTAAGAAAAAAAAACAGAAATTATTTTGATCAAATTAGCGTGCAAAAAGTCAAAAATATATTTTAGTTTAGTCTTCTACTGGCTGTTATCAGGTATATCTGAATGTGTACAACAGGGGTTTGAGCAAAGCTTTTACCACTGAATGATGCAAAAAGTCTCAGATCCAAAAGACTTCAGAAACCGTGTGAATCAAATATGACACATATGGCGTTATAGGGTTAAATAAAGCTAAAGTCGTGTTGTTTGGGAGCCGTGACGTGTAAAACCGTTCGTGTTTGGTGCCGCCACCTCTCAGCAGGAAGGCCGATGACCAGCAGCTTGTTTCCGTCCTTCCAGTAGCCGACGTGCACCAGATGTTTTCCCAGCAGCAG